TTCAGAAAAGGGAAGAGAAAAGCTTTAAGAATACACATATATTTAGCAGAATGCAGATGAGCAAAGGCAGAGACTAGACAAGCCTAACTCTGAAAAATGCCAAACACCTTCAATATCTACTCACTTCAATGAACTCTGAAGGTCCTCAGAACCTCATATAACTGGGGTGTATAAAACACGTGTTATTTATTTACCAAAATTTAAAGTAATCCACGATTTATGAAATGGGAAAAAAGAAAACCAAATTTTTGGACAAGGGAATTAAATAATTGATTTCATTACTTAGCTCTTTTTGGAAAAATACTTAGATGAAACCACAATATTTCAAATGTTTTCAAGGCTAGAAAAGCAAGTGCATATTGAAGGGCTCACATAATGGCAAGTGCCTGCTGAAGGCGTATTTCCTCCACTCTAACCTGCAGTACTCCCGTATAGAAAGGTCAGGCAAACAGGTTCCAAGCTCTACTTTTCCTCAGATGGACCTTTAGCAGTGTTACACGTACAAAAATAAAGCCACACCAAACTCATAGCACAGATAAATTAAAATACATCTGTGTAAACAGGCTCCCCCTGTCCTATTATACACAGAATGCACATCTGGATAGGCATGTTTTGCACAACGTTCTACCCTAATGTAACTGAAAAAAGCTGAGGTGCTATGGCCCAGAAACAGACTTTATTAATAAAAACTGTAGCATACTGTTAAACCATGGAAGCGCTACCAGCTGTAACTGTGACACATCAGGAATTCATACTTCTACACATCTTTTTCACAGAGCTTAGATGTAAAAAAGAAGGAAGGAGCTTGCAAAATAACCCAGAGAAGCTGCACTCCTGAAGAAAAGGAACATTCAAGATTGTTATTAATTAAGGTTTTAAGGTTCATGTTCACATCAGGTTTTCCTCAAGGAAATTACATTGATTCAGTGGGATTGGTGCTAATACCTCTGAACCTGTGAACATCAGCATCGAGTTCTTAATACGTACTGATTTTCATACAACCAAGAAACAGGCAGAAATGATCCTGGTAACGTCTATCTTAAACTACTGAAGGCACTGGTATGGATTTTCTTGTAAGAAGAAAAATATCTAAATTTGTCAACTTATTTTGTCTACCCCTAAACAAAGCAAAATATAGAAGAAAAATAGACAAGGTTTCCAGAAACCGTGTCCATACTGGGGGCTTTTTCCAGCACTTTTGTCAGTGCTACATCTCCCTTCTACATACCCATAAGCCAAAATAGTTGCGCCAGCAGAATTTCATCATCCAGGCCTGACCTCAAATTAGAGTCTGACTCTTAAAACCTAAGCAAAGAAGAAATGGGAGGCTCTGAATGACACTGAAATATATCACTGAAGTATTTTCATTATTCAAACAGGCTGATTTGAGAGGAAAACAACAGAAAAGATAGCCTGCACAGCAGTAGAGCTTTTCTGAATCACAAATTCAAATGTAGATAGTAGTTAATTCAATCTTTTACAAAGGTGGAAGGTAGAAAGAAAGAGGATGCATTGGTCAAAAGTCATCCTATAACTTAAGGGAAAAGAGGAAGATAATGTCTCCCAGTGATAAACAAAGAATAGTGAAAGAGCAGGAAATGACAACTGAGTTTGGCAAACAGTCTAGCATAAAGATGATTTCATCCCATGGGGAGAAGCCAGACAGACTCACAGGACAGTTTCAGAAAAAAAAGCCATATTTTAAGACCAAGGAGCATTTAAAACTATTACTGAAAAACCCACTTGTCACAATCTGGCACCAGAGCTAGTATTTAAGTACCACATTAAATGCATTTGCCTATTACTACCATCATTCAAAGTAGGTAGGCGTAGGAAACCTAAGGCTGTACTGCTGTACTGCAACCAGCCCGTATCCTCACATCATACACACTGTAGCAGTATGTGTGCCATACCAAGAGTACCTGAAAGCGCTGGTTTGCTATCAGAAAGAACAACATTCCCCAAACAAACCAAGAGGCAATGAAAATATGAGACAACTGTCTACATTTTCAGGGATACCAGTTTCAGATTGCACATAATTTGAGTTGCAAATGCTTTTACCTCTGAGAAACCTACTACTCCCACCAGTAGAGTGCGTAAGTCTGCCTAAGAAAGCCCAGCAGCCGGTCTCTAAATTACTTACAAGGAGCAATTTGTACAGCCAGAATAATCTCAAAATAAAGCAATTCATTTGAGTGAAAAAAAAAAGGAAACAAAAAAAAATCCCTTCCCCCAGTGATTTCCACTTTGCTAAATTTATTATGTGGCTGCAAATTAACACATCACCTGCACTAGCTATCACAAGCCTCTGAGCCAGTCTCAGAACTTGCTTTAATAAACAGCTGCAAGTAGTGGAAGAAATATGTAAACATCTCTTTTGTTTTTCTGTGCCATTGTGTCAGCTATTCTACATGTCTTTGAAGGTGCTCCAAAATCAGCATGGTTCTGCTTTTCCCTTTTTCTCCTTTTGGGAAGAGGAAGAAACAGAGAAGGACAGGCTGGCAACAGAGGGCTACCTCTGTGCTTGCTGTGCTTTTGACAGTAAAGCTGAGAGTGTTCAAATTCATTTTGCACAGGCTCTTCTGTCAGGACAAAAGAAACCACTGCTGGTGGTTAAAAATGCAAAAGGTTTTGATTGTAATGGCTTGACAATCAGCCAAAGATATGACTAGGGGGAACAACACAGCAAGGCAGCTATGACCAAAATGGAAGAAACAAGGAAAAACACATGGCTTGACTTCAGAGCAGAAAATTGACTTAGGCTTTGCATAAACGATAGCATACCTCCAAGCTTGCTTGATCCACAGCCTGCCTGGAATGCCAACATGTAGTCTAAAAGCAGAGCCTATTAAAAGGCATAATGTTTCTAAACGGCATCTGTTATGTACTAATAAGCATTACTTAAAGGACACAGGCCTTAAATTGCTACCAAACGTGCACTTATCTGAAACTGTTGCAAGGCAATCATTACAAAATGTCACATGACACCACGGGAATTTGAATAATATAAAATGTTTTTATTTAGTTTGGCTTGAAACCATTAGGCAGGAAAACTATGGAGGCACTTTCTGAGATTCTGAAACTGTGCAACTTCACAGGAATGAAACACTAGCAAGAATTACATCAGCGGAGCCATTTGCCATCTGTTGTCAGTAATACTATAAAGACCAGCCACCAGACAGCAGTTTCAAAGGTTACAAACACAACGTTTTTAAGCATCCACAGACCTCCTGGTAACTGAGCAGGACACAGTTTACTTCAGATATGTGCAACCTGAGGGTCTGCAAATCGTTCTGCAAAGACAACACAGCAGAACTGTGAATTGCCATGAGAGGTGTTTGGGAGTCTCTCAGCATGCAACCATTATACAACGTGGAAAGCACATACCAGCTTGTTCTACGTAGGTTCTTATAATACACTCACAACCATAATGTCTGCACACCTCCCACTTGCAAATTTAAACTGGCTAGACTTTCTCTTGTGCTGTTTGTTTTCTCATACTTTCCCCCAAGGGAAGGAGCATATTCTCTGCAGTGCTATTATAGACAGGGACTTGGGTTTGTTTGCTGGGTTTTGGACTGTATTTTTTCTTTTGAGGAAAGTAGTTAGGGTTTTGTTTCCTGTTTTCTTTCCTTCTATACCACAACTACATATTCATGTTAAAGAAAGCAAGGTTTTAGTAACTTGCCTTTCCTGCGGCATGGAAAGCAAGGAGGTTGTGACAGCCCTTTCCTCTTAGATACACACACTCCTCAGCCTGAGTAAAATTCTGCCTGTTCCAAGCATAAGATTTCAGTTACACTGGAGGAGTATTATTGTTGATCAGTCTCATCTTAGAGCTTTGAGTAGCTTTTCTAGATGTGAGCACCACATTCATGATACAGCACCTATGTGCTACCTGAATTTTGTGGTTCCACCTTCCAGGCTGCTGACCTCCGGCCTGTAAACTGATTAACATGGATTTCATGGAGGGCAGGGAGGTTTCCATCTTCCTAGAGTGACAGATGGAAATTCAAGGCTTCATTAATGCAATTGTTACACTACACATACAGGTTTTTCATCTGGTCACTATTTCTCAGGCTCCAGCAAGTCGTGTATACATTGTTACTCACTGAATGTCCCTCCTAGCTTTACTGATGGTTAATTCGTACACATGCAAGTGTTCTAAAATCAAACAGAACTTGCGACAAGGCTGAATTTAAAACAAGAGCCTCAAGTTCTAAGTCAACAGCTGTCCTGTTTTTCAATGGTGAGGTTTGCCTAGGATCTATAAAGGAGATTAGAAACCTGGAAGCGTAAGCAATCTTGCCCTGTGAAAAACAGTTACAGGAATAGACCTCAAGATCTAGTTGTAGCATCTCAATTACAGCAGGACATAAACTGAAGAGCACCATTTGCACAAGAAGATCTAATGGCTGACTCCAATATGCTTTTAAAGTGTGCTGTATTGTACACTCAACCTATTGCCAATTGTTCCATAATCAAACATAGGTGTATCCAATTAAGTAACTAAGCCAAAACTCAGACAATACCTAAAAACAAGAGCAGCTGTCCCAGAAAATGAACGGGGTGGAAGAACTACTCTAAACATTCGAGAGTAATGAAACAGAGGAAAAATGCAGACATCAATGGAAGTGCCCAACAGTACAATGCCTGCGTAGACATGAAAAACCAAGTCTCACTCATCTAGATAGTTTAAAACATCACCAGAACTCAATCTTCCAACCCCCCCCCCCCCCCCCCAAAAAAAAACCAACAGCATTATTACAAATGTTTGACTTTCGTAAGTGGCTGATAGGGACAAAAAAAAAAACAGAGCAATCTGACTACGGTGCATTTAGCCATGAGCAGCTAGAGGAACTAATGAACAACATCATTATTTTACTGAAGGGGATGAAGTAGGTGCTTTAGATAAATGGTAGCAACTTAAAATGTGTTTCAGAAGATAAATTCACTTTCTCGCCATTTACCTGCTAGCGTGACAAATTAAGAAAGAATATAAAAACAGACCAGGAGGGAAAGCAGAGCAAAAGCTAACTGAGGTGATGCAACGGGCCCTTATCCAAACAAGTGTGTGAACAGAGATTCTTGGAAGTGCTCCTAGTCAAATATAAACCAGGAACGCTAACTCCCTTGGAAATCCACAGCAGAGCATGGGCAGAAGATCCACCTGTCCTAAAACCTGCTCCCTCACCAAGCCCGAGGAGCACTGCCATTTGGGAACTGACAACGCCTGCTGTTTCAAAGCAGTAAGTCCGCCAGGTAGGGAATGACGGAGTTCTCTCTATTGGCCTCTGCTGGGCTGAGCAGCTCTTTGCCCACTGTCAGAAACACCAGAACCTTAACTTCTGCTGAAAGAAGGTGAGGGGTGAGTGGCCTTTTTCCCCAAAAATTCATCATTAGAGACCATGTATTTCTTGTTCTAGCCAGCCCATGATCAGCGAAGTTTTTACTGAAAGCAAAGGACTCTGCAATATAAAAAGCCTTTGTATCTCTACACCAAAATAACCCAACTAATTATAGTAGTCAAGAAGAACCGTGTTTACTGCTCCTTTTGTCCCTGTTAAACCATGCTTCTTTTGTCAAGCCATGTTTTCGCTCAGTTTGGGTAAACACTGGCTGATGCTGCCTGAGATACGACCTTAAAAATGTAGTGGTATTTTTACACAGCATTCCCTCAGCTCCTCAGTAGTTCTCAAGTCCCAAATCTGTGTACCTGTGTTGTGAGACCCCTGAACAGCTGGCACAAAGCCGTCAGGAATCCCGTAGCCATGTTCAGCACAGCTCTGGATTAGCCTGAACGTGTAAGAGTTACCGGAACACTCGGGAAAAGGGCAAACCCCCCCCTGCAGCAGCCCGCTCGGGCTGCCCCGTCCCCCTCAGGCGGTGCTCTGGGGACAAGGAGGTGAAGCTCCGGGGCTCGCCCGGTCACAACCGCAGGCGGCTGGGCAAAGTTTTCCTGGAAAGGCCCGAGTGTTTCGCGGCGCCTCGGCCGCTTGTGGAAAACCTGCCCGCGGGGAGCCCGCCATTTCGGGCTCCTCACAGGAGGCGCCGGCCCCGCCGTGTCCTTCCCCTGCGGGTGGGCAACCGGGCCAGCATGAGGGAGTCGAAGGGAGAGGGGCGGCCACCGCCGTGAGGAGGCCGGGCCGCGGGGGAGCTCCCGAGCGCTCGCCCTCCCTTCTTACCAGCGGCGGCTCTTCCTCCTCCCGCGGCCTCCATCACTTCCTCTGAGGCGGGCGCCCACCGCCGCGGCCCGCCCCTGCCCCGCGCGGGATAGCGGCGCGGGCAGCCCCTGAGGGGCGGGGGGCAGCTGACAGGAAAAGCGGCGGTCGGAGGGCGGCTGCGGAGCCAAAGGGAGTGGGGCGGCGGTGGGGAGCGGTGTGTGGGGGAGCGGAGGCCGGAGGGGCGAGGGGAAGCCGGCTGCGAGCTGCAGGCTGAGGGCAGCCCTCGTCCTCTGCCACCACAGACCGGCCTCGGGCGGTGCCGGCACAGGGCTGTGCCTTAGCTTCCCAAACTGCGAGAACAAGTTCCAAACCCTTCATCCCAAAGGCACACAGTGGCAAACCGTAGAGCTGACACCAGCTTCTTTAAGCTCGGGTGGCAGCAGCACGAGTTTTACGAGGGAAAATAAGTAAAAATGACATTTTTCGTAGTATGCTTCAGCGATGTGCCGTAGTGATTTGTTGTCAATATGAAAGAGGCTTTCGGAAGACATGGGCAAGCAGCCTGCTGTTTGTTATTACAAATGGTAAAATTGAGGTATAGAGACTAAAATGAACACACAGATGTTAACATTATAAAGTAGGATCCAGGTGTTGACTGTTGGGAGCTTCCTGGGTGTCAGATAGATCCCTTAAAGCAGCGGATCTAACTTAGCAAAGTCAAAGAGGTGAACAGTGCATGGAACTAGCAGTACGTTTGCAAAGAAACCAGCTTACCTTTGTACTTATGGCTGTGACCTGGAGACTGTTTCGGGACAGCATCTTGAGTGCTTCCATTAATGAGTACTCCGTTGCCTGTCAGCACAGTGACCAAAAGCGCCATGAGGCTGCTCCTCCTTTGAGCGGTTTAAGACACACAGTGAAGTGGATTTGTGTTTTCTGTCCTCAACAGGAAAACGTTCTCTCAGCCCATACACGGATGCTCCCAAAAAAGCAGATGTCACGCAACCACGCTCCACGGCACATCACTGGATCTCAGCACAATCTCATGATCCTTAGGAGCTTTCTACCTTCCACCACACCCTGTGTCATGCTCGGCCCTGTTTGATGCAGCATTGCTGGGTGACCTTGCCTGAGGTTTACTGAGAACACTGTTAAGCCATGAGAAAGTACACGAGCTAAAGGCACGAAAGACAAGAAACTCAAGTCGCAGAAGCACTGCTGTTGGCTGGTGAGAGATTCAAGGGAAAAGATATAGGAGGAAAGAAAAGCAGAAAATGTGAAGATAACTCAAGTAATGCTGAGGATCAGCCCGCACCAACAAAAGACACAGACTGACTTTCCCCAGCATACTGGAAACTTCCTCAGCTAAGACTCCTCAGTTTTCTTACAAGGAGTTGTAAGCATATTACTGTTTACCCTCATAACCTGTTAGTCCTAGCTAGCTATTTGGCATATTAGCTGATAAAGACTTACTTAAAGTGTATATATCCTGCTTTCAGGGTTTGTGTACGGTAAATGACACCTGAACAACAGCAACCCACTGATTGTGAGTTGCATGCTCTCCTGCTAAAGTACTTTCTCCCTGCATTAAACTATTATAAACAATTAAAAATAAAATCTAACAATCCATCCATACACAGCAGTTGGCTTTTGCTAATACTGCAAGAAGACAGGAACTGAAATGGCAACAACCCCCTAACAGCTTGGCCGCATTTATATTACATACAATTTCAGTTTTTTCCATTATTGCTAAGCATTGAGTATACACTAGTATCATCAATTGCAAAAGAGGTAATATAAATAAGGCAACAACATAAAATATATAATACTTTCTATCCAAAAGAAAGGTAAGTGAATTTGCCATTACGTTTTTCCATTTACCATTTCTGTGGAGTTTGCTTTAGAAGAGGCATTGCTCCACGGGGAACAGTGAGCGTTACACTGAAATGTTTGTCACCTCTCTTTTTGTGACACTGCATTCCATCTACCTAAAGACTATGTTAGGTCTTTCCTGAGGATCATTTATTTTTATTAGAATGGAAAAGAAATATAGAATGTTAGAGCCTGAAATTTCTATTTAAAGTCCCATTACAGTTTAATGTTAAATAGCATAGCAGCTTGATTTCTTCTTCCTCTCATTAAATGTTAAACAGCTGAGATAAAAAAATGGAATATATTAAACACCTAAGAGTTTAAAGCATTGGTCAATGCCTGCCAATAACATGAAATAAAAAATCTATATGCAAGTAATAATAAAAGAGATAAAAATTAAAGAGCTGTTTCTAAATGAACAGCCATATTCAATTCTTGTTACCATCAGTACTAAGAAGCTGTTTGAGCAGTGTTCTAGCAGTTCTGCAATGTGGTCAGAATGCACTTGCAGAAAATACATTTTTCTCTAACTCAGCAGTTCAGAAAATTTTAAAATGAATCAGACAACTCTACAGAAAAATATTTAAGGTGATAACCAGAGCTTTCATAGTCGAGTTGCTTCCATTTCTTCTTTACCTCAGGATGAGTGCCATGCCAATCACATTTGCGTATAGAGAGAAAAACAGCCAGCATTCAGCTGAGTCAGCTCTGGCTGTGACTTGTCTTCAAATAGCCAGGGCTTGGTTTCTTAATTATGGATGGGGAGATTTATTTGCACAGGCCTCAGATATCCAGTGACTTGTGTATCTGTTGTTATGGGCACATACATGCGAGTGAGTGCTAATAGTAAAGCTACAGTCATACTGTCACAATGTAATGCAGATGCTATACATGCATTATTCCTCCATTTATACTACTGTGCACATAAAGCTTGGGAACAGAAACAATAAATTAAATCAGTGCAAACCCTAATTTTGGTGCACTTTGTCAAATTCCTAATTTATTCATACCACTAGCATTCTTCCCAGACTTGCACAAGCATACAGCAACACTAGAAATATCTTGGAATCTTTACTACCAGATCAGCAAACCTCTACTTACGGAAAGGGACTAAGCTGTTGAAGGCAATGCTCAACTGATGAGTTATTAGAAAGTGGCTTGGAGGGATTTCCCCCAGATTTCTATCAGTTTCTTCATAAAGGATTAGTGACATAATCTTCCTTGTTCCATCTTTGTTTCCACTTTCTTTTGTGAGCTGTGAAAACTTTGAAAACTAGTCCTATAGTCCAAAAAGGCAATATCAATCGCTTGAGAGTGCACAGATGTCATAGACTTCTATCTACTCTATGCAAGAATATCTAATAAAATTCCTAATATTTTACAGTGTTCAAGCAATACCTTTCTTATATATCTATAAAGCAGCTAAATTGTACTAAACAAAATACATAATTTCTCATGCAGGAAATTAATTAAGCAACTGTAGACCTTGAATATTGCTTTATTCCTCTCATATGCTTTGTTCATTAGACCATCCTGTATTCAGATTTAACAAAACCCGAAACTGGAGAATTTTAGATGTAATTCACTGATGTCAGTGGCAGATTTTGACTTATTTAAAGCTGCAGAGGACTGTTTGCTCTATGCGCAGCTCCTTCAGCCACAGCACTGAATAAAAGTTAATTTGGCAAGTTATATTAGTCAGGGGAAGAAATGGCTGCTGGAATCAAGGTCTTTTGATTTAGAAGAATCCACAAATTTCTTTGTGTCTCAGCACAGGAGGATTTAAATGACAGACACAGCCCATAGCTCCAAACCTCACTCAGGCACGAACCAGTCCAACAGATCTCTTCAGAGATTTTTTTTGTCCTTAAGGTCTCACAATTACCAGCTCCCTTGAGATTATATAGTGGCTTTCTATTCTTAGCATATTTCTCCCCTCCCTCTCTCTCTCACATGCACACACATACACTTCCTACTCAAAACAAGACCCAGCAAAACCCTCTGCCCACATAGTTATAATTCCCAAGAGAACTTGCATATGCTTTTGTTTTGGGCAGTGACAATGTGCATATGTTTTGATTTTGGGCCCTCCCCTATTGGTTCTCATGCTTCAGTTTAATGAAGACAGACCAGTTATTAAACTCACCAGTTTCAGCAGGCCATAACCCAGCTTCCAGACTTCATTTGACCTTGCAAGTTGGAATGAGATTTTGTAACACATTGCCTATTCAGGGATATTACTGAGTAAATGTTTTGGCTTAGCAAATACACACATTTTACTTACGGTGTTTTGAAGGAGCTTGAACTATTTTATAAAAAGCTTAAGATAAAGATCAGGGTGAGTAAACTGGCTAACTGCTATGAAGAGGGATGGCAAAGTTACCCCTGAATTAGTCAGTAAGAAAGTCTATGAACAGTAGAAATGGACAGATATGTTTTTTGTAGTGAAGTCATTCCTCACGATTGAAGTGAATTACAGCTGTGCTAAAAATAGAATATCCACAGAGATAAAATAAAATTGATTCAATTAATTTTTGGTTTACTTGTACATAAACAGGTTTCTGAGGAAAAATGTGGCTGGATTTTTGCAAGAAGTTTCTTTAAGCTTTTCCTGTCCCTTCCTAAGTACTATTGCGTGCCTAAAGAAGTTTGGGACAGTCCCGGTCAACCAGCCTGTCAGTCACACTTCTATCTTTAATACAGAGACGTAACAATGTTTGCTTCGAAAGTGACATAAATCACAAGCCATCCCTGTCATGTGAATGCAGACATCACAGTTGGAAGAAAAAAGGGTGCCCCAAATAAAGAAGTCTGCCACAGATATATGAATTATAATACTGTTGGAACTGAAAGACAACAAGATTCCACCTTCTGGAGCACAGATTTCATGGATTCCAATTCCAGCACTGTGGTTGTAACTGGTAAGATTTTTATTTTCTTCTCCTTGTAGCCAGAGATGGTATGCACACATGCTTGGTCTTTGTCGTAAACAGTTCCCTGGAAGGAAAAACAGTAGCAAATGGTCATACTAACAATTCCAAATGGAAAATAACTTGCTGCGGTGCCTTCCTAAGAAAAATCAGATGCATGTCAGCAAACAAGACTGCAGTCTGCCCTCTTTACTGCCACCCAGTTTGGTTTGTTGTTCATTCTCTCCATGTCTTAATCTTTGTTGACATTCTCTCTGATCCAAACCACATAGCTGAAGGCAGTGCAGGCTAGTATGAGATAAAGCTTACCCAAAAGGAGGTCTGAAGCAAGAAAACCAGGTTGCATCACAATGTCACATAGTCGGTGTCCAGAATTAGAGCAGCACATGGCAAGTTTCGAGGTCTCAGTTTCATGGCAAAGTAAGGGAGTTTTAAACAGGAGATGCTGCCTCATCACTGCTAAACTAAACCATTAAATTTAAATATACCAAAGGAGCATGCCTGAACATGCAGCACGAGGGACCAAATTGGGAATTTCTCTTGCTGGCTATCACTACTGCTGAATCATAGTGGCAGAAGCACCAGCTAGAGAATTCTGAGCTTTAAAAGGTTAAAGCTCTTAAGGAATGCTGCTACTCGCTACTCCTCTAGTTGCCACTGGCTCGTTTAAAGGCAATGATTACACATATCTTGACATGTGAGTTGCTGGATAATTTTCCACTGCAGGTCATCTGAGGACATAGGAATGAGGTTGAAGCTACATCAAAGAGATTTGCATCTTGCTGTTTTCAATTAAACACCTTTTTTTTTTAGGTTTCAATAGCTGCAAGATGAGCAGAACTAGTTTGGCTTGCTCTAGACATCACTGCAGTTGAACCAAGTGGGAGTGTAGGAGAGAACAAGATGTTTTTGCTAACCTCTTAACAGGCTGACAGTCTGGTTCTGTCCTACGATATTTATGGCACATACCCTTGATGGGCACACTTCTTAACATCCTGTTAGGTTTTTCCTCCCCTTAGATAGCCATTGAGGTGCAGAAACCTACTTGTTCAAATGGTTTTAGACTAGTGTGTCCCATTACGGACACAGGTGCATCTTTAAGCTATTACAGAGATTATCATAGCTTGTCTCTGTCACATTTTCACCTGCTCATAACATAAACCTGCTGGCACTGAGCCCAGTTTGTTATATAGTGCCTAATAATACTCAGCCAGTTAGCTCTCCAAGTTGTTGCAGGTAGTTCTGTACTGTAAAACTCTTACCTTAAGTCATTTTTCATGGAGTGATTTTATCCTAAGCAGTAGTTTCTTACGGCCACCACTGAGATGCCTGTATTTAATTGTGAGATATTTAATAACCTTACACATAATTCTATATAATATACATAACTTCAGTTCTGCACACACAGGTACAGAAACATGCACAACAGCTACAGCTTCAAAATGGAGTAGGTGTCACCCTAATTTTGCTCTGAGAATAGAGTGGGACTAATGAGGTTTTATCTTCCCTGTTAATGTAAAATGAGTACTATTTCCCTTGTTCCCTCTCCATAGTACAAACTTAAACCTGGGGAAAACATTGTCAAAACTATTAGCACCATCAGCCTTTTCATAATATTAAAGAGAAAAGATGAAGCAGTTATGAAATAAGTATTAAGAAATTAAGAAATGCTTGAAGTCTAGCATTAAGCTGTCATAAGCCTGCATTTAGGATTAATTGTCCCCACATGCAAGTACCTTTCACTGTGAAAAATAGCAGTCATATACTGTCAAGTATTTATTTGTCCATTTAAGGATTTTTAAGTATTTAAGAGTTACAGCATTGCAACCATTTTACAAACTATTTTCCAGCCACCCAGTATCTAGGACTTGGTAACATTCTGGATTGAGAGGAGTAACTGAGATTAATGAAGATCGTGGAGTTTTCCATCAAATGTTTTAATGATAAGTTGCCTGTCCAGCTTAAAATGAGGGCTTTTTTCCTTTTTATTTAAAAAAAGCCTTTCATATAAAAGGGTGCATAAAATTAAATGTAGTACTTTGGATTCGAGAGGTCCTTTTGCCTTTCCTCTTCTCTTTTCCTCTGGGGAAAAAGCAACGGAAGAGATTTTGCCCAGCACCACAAAAAGCACATTTTCCCTGAGAGAAAAGTTTTCACTAGGATTAAAAAGAAAAAAACCAAAACCCAACATCAAATGAAATAAAATGTTACTTTTTCAATCATTTTCATTAAATATGCCTATCTTCAAGAGCTTTAACCCTAAGAATGGCACTTACAAGAATTGACTGTGGCCTGGGAGTATTTAACACCAGATGTTTTAGTAGCGGGGTTTCTATGGGTGATGAACCTTGCCCAAAATCATCATTTCTTTGATCTGTCCTATTGGCTCTGGCACATTTACCAGCTTCAGTTAAAGTTATCTCATGAGAAAGAGTTGACATGAATGAAGATTGTGAGATCTGTTCTTATATCAGTGCATATGAAAAATTAAAATACTAATTCCTGAAGTGCTATAAAGGCTAAATCCTACCTAAAAACTCAACCTCCATAACCAAAAATACGAAGATAAAGAACAAATATGTGTGTGCATGCGTGTCTGCACCTGATCTATGATTGCAGAGCAAGCATAGGTTAAGCACCTTTCTTTCTTTTCAGGTTTTGGTCCCTTTAGACAATACTTGGTTAATCCTAGCTGGGAAGCAGTGAAGGTAAGCATGGAAAAAAGAAAGGGAGGTGTTTTATTTTGTGGCAATCCTGATACAATTGTTTTCAGGCTTTCCATTCCCTTCAAAAAAGTTATTTCGCATGACTCATTAAACAGAATTATGCCTCATGGAGCAGACTCCCAACATAGAAGAAAGGAGAATTAAGAAGTAAAACATTGTTTTATTGGCAAGATTTTTTTGTGTGCTATTTAATCACTTTTCAAAATATTATTCTTGAGTTTGAAAAAAGATATTTTTACCCAGGGTGCCTTTTCTGCACCTATTGCATATACCACAGGTTATCTCTGCTCAGTAAACACATGATCTCATACCACAACTCATTTTTACATGCCTGTGTAAGGTGTTTTCCTTCTCATTAGGTGTAACCTGTTGAGCTCCGCCTCCTTCAGGAACACAAAGCCTAAAGCACACCAATTCTAAGTGTGTTTTCATGTTTCATCTTTGGCTTCCACTTTCAAATGACCAAAGACCAAAGCTATAGCAACTCCACCAACCCGTATGTGTTTTCTATTCTGGCCTTGTTGGGTGAAGAATACTGAGTGAAACTTTGTATTTGGTAGAATAAATTCATTACCCACTCAGAATCATGGGGGATGTTATCCCTGTAGCCTAACAGGAGACAAAAGTACTTCTGTGATACCTTTCCACACCCCAGTCATCACAGGAGACCCATAAATTACCTTGAGTCCAACTTGATATGTCCCTGAAACCACAGATATTTGTCAGTTGACAATGTTCTTGCTCATTATTTCCTGATTCATATTAGTTCTAATTTTGGGTGCAAGATCATCCTCTTTGGGCTGAAAATAAACCATGTTCTTTATCTGCAAGCAAAACAGCCTAAACCAAAACACACCAATGAGTTTTCTGTAATGCTATGTGCTGGCTGCTCCAGCATTCCATAGTGAAACAGATGTCAGTCCTTGTGTATGAAGGAGAACAAATCCATTTCCCTCTGATGTGACCCCCTCTGCATGGAATTAATATGTATTCATATTGGGGATGCTGCATTGGTTTCCTGTTCTCTGGCAAAGGTGGTTAATCCAGGCAAATCAGGGAAATTTGCTGCAAATCTGGAAGTACTTTGAATTTCAATAGGCTTCTCCATGCTAAATAGCAATCTTACGGTATTGTTCCATTAGCCTTGTTCACAAGGGTAGCCCTACGGTCTTCAGGAAGCCTGTGCACATGTATTAAAGATAGCAAAATTTAGCATCAACATCTGGAAGTAATCCTGCCTTGGCTTGGGGTTCCTGCATGGATCACTAAAGTGGCATAAAGCCCTCCCACCGAGTCTGAGAACTGAGCAAGAGTGCACTCAAACTCATCCTCAAGAAAGTACTGAGCAGCCAGACCAGAGCCTTGCTGATGGGATCAGCTGTTCTCCTGAACCTCTTCTCTTGCTGTAGGGAGCATCAGAGACTGATCCAGTGAGCACACAGCCTATTCCAGTAGTCACATCCCTTCTGTGCCCTCACTGGGCACTCAGAAAAATGGTTGTGGGATATTGTTTCTCTTACAAATTAACCATTTACTACACTTCTGGGGGAATAAGCTGATCTCCATTTTCTGAAATCCTCAGGCATCAAGTGATAAATGTTAGTAAAACTCTCCAAATCTTGATTTCTGCTGGTTTAGAAAGAGCATTTGTTCTGCATTCTTGGATTTCTTCCGGATACTACCATAAGTAGCAGTGCATTCTCCCACGTTGCCTGTTTTATATGAAGATACAATTTTCCAAGAGTGTGAGGAGAACCCTGTTGTTTTGCATGAACCCAAGTTCTTATCACAGTGCAAGATGACTCATACACAAATCATTCAACAGCATCTCATCCCCGGATTTCTCATTCCTCAGCAAGTACCCCTTGAGTGTTCAGGGAAAACAAGAGGCAAATGGATCAGAAAGTACAGGTGAACCTGTCAATTCAGGGTCACCGAGAAAAGCTTCAGAGCTTTTATAGTCACTGGCACAGGGCCCAACATGGGTGTCTAGCACTAGTAAGACAGCTTCTCTTTCAGAAGCCTGTCTCACTCAGTTTTTCATGGTTCTCATAACTCCGTTCACCTGAAATACCCTCCTACAACACACACGAAAGCTGAAACACTGAACTCTGCGGGACGTGCGCTCTGAAGGAAAACACCACCGAGTATTTACCCTGTGTTTGCTGACAGTTCATGTTGAGTTACTGTGATGCGTTAGTTTGTCAGCACCACACGGGACCCTCAGAATCCCAGATTCTCCAAATTATTTCTTCCATGTTACACATTGATGGTCAAACCTAATAACCTGTGATCTGACTCGTGTGTCCTCCAGAAACTGTCTTCAACTTGGCAGTTAAATAACCTATCAGGGCAGTCTACCACCAAGGTCAAAGTCACCAGTTAATAGGGCACAAATGTAAACTGAGTGACAACATTCACAGTAATTAAACTGTTAGCCCAAAGAACAGGTCACATTTCCAACTGCTTCTGGGAACTATGTTTGCTATCGGGAGATGAGGATCAGATCTCTGGGTGCAGTTTTTCATCCTGCCACTGACCATGTGGTCTTTGGAAATGTGTCATTTAATCTCTCTGTCTCCCTCCCTCTGCTTTAGTTTCCTCATCTGTGAAACTAAGAAGACATTGCTATTTAGTGCCTTCATTTCTGTTCTGGAACTTTCTTACACCCCTAAAGCTAGTTTTTTCCTGGAGGTTTCTAAAAGTTCAAGATGCTTCTAACACAACCACTGCACCCGAGCACAACTGTGCTGTGCCAATCGCTTCTCTTTGGGGAGGGCTGTGTAACCACATGGGCCAGAGTTCCAGTGGACCAGGACTGTAACCACAGCTCACCAATGACTCAAGGTCATCAGCTGATAACGCTGGATTTCATACCTCTGTCAGAAGAGCCTCCCAACAAAGAATCTGCCTGCTTTCTTTGGAACCGCTCTTCCCACAAGAAAGTCCTCCAAAACTTGTGTCCTCCTTTGAAGTTCTCTTTGCTCTTTCAACTACAAAAGAGAGGCACTTGTTTACTGAATGACCTCACCAGTGTGAGCTCCATTTTCCAGATGCAGTTATCCTCCTGTAACCATCTTCAGTCTCTCACCTCAAATGCAAAACTAGTTTTGGTTAAGGCTGAGACAAAGAATGATCTATTTTTTTGTTCTGTGTTTGCACAACATGTGCTCTAATGGGGCATAAGCCCATGGTTAGTATTCTTGGACAACAAAGTAATACACATTATTGACAACATGCTGAAACAGCTGAGGACACAGGGAACTGTCTTCCTTTGACACACATTGCCAGCCCTTTACTCTTGGTCTGGTACCGGTTTTGTCCTGCACTGAAGCATTTCTGTGTGTCTCTCCCATGACAAATGGTGACAACAGAACACCAATCCAGCCAGCATGGGAGAAGAATGGCCTAACAACTTACTGTGGGTCTCCACATTCCATACCAAAGTTATGGGGAGCTGAGACCTCTGAGCTTTACAGCTAAAAAGGAAGAATCTCATTCAATGGTAAAGATGCTTTAGAAAAGAAAATGCTAATTGTGAACCAGCTGGGGTTTGCTTTTTTGGAAGCTAAGACAGAACAGAATTCTTAAACAAGATGATGCAATGGGCTCTCAAAGACTGTCAGCGCCCAGAGCAAGACAGGCTGGCACTGTTCTCTGAATGTGTTTACTTCCCTGCAGGCATTGTTTCCTTGCTTGTGTCAAATAGTTTATTGAGCACAGCTAATCAATGCTTCCGCTGACAAGAAAATTGGAACAGTTTATATAGGAAGCCAGTGTTGAAGGGCAAATTTCCCAGTTAGCTACAGCTTAGAACTCTGGGTCTTGTCCACCCAAGTATCCCTAGAGAAATGAAAACAACATGTAATAGAGAAGTTACAGGGTTTGGGGCTAATCACAGACCTCTGCTGCTGACTTTTTGCCTGTGCCCCCCTAGAAACTTCCTCTGTACCCTCCTTGGGTAGTGCTCTACTCAAATGCAACAGGAACTTTCAGCCGTCCTTTTACTTCTCAGGGACAAAGCTTTCCTTCTGCATCCTGCCACTGCAGCCTCCCACCTTCTACTTAGAGGCTTACTATTAAGAGTCTTGTTTGTTAGCCCTGTTCTACTGACAACACAATTTCAAGTCATTTCCACATGACCTTGATTCTCCAGAACATCTTTTACCACCTGGCCAACCTGCTGCTTTGAGGGTGCCATTGTTTCTTCCACCTCAATTCTGGGCATAACTTTTGTTTCCTTTGGGAAAAGGTCCCATGTGGAAATTCGACTGTACCTAAGTGACAGAGAAGTAATACCCAAATAACTGACATTTCCTTTTACTAGAAAAACATTCTAGACCAGCAAAGAAATGAAACCCAGCCTAAATGTGCCCTTTCTCATGTTGACAGATGCCTCCAGCACAGCTTACCCGAACCAGTTCAAGCCAGCAGATTGCTGGAGTGGACAGCTAATGGGGATTGTCCTTCATTTGTGTCCCTTGATAGTGCAGGTTTATCTACTAGAGCTTTCAGAGGAACAGATCTTACCTACATCAAAGCTTATTTAGAAGCTTCCAAGTGTGGACCTGTATGTCAGTGGTCCAGCCCCTTAGCAATAACCACTCCCACCCACTGCAGACTGAGCATCCCTTTGGAAAACACATTTTAGTCTCTTCCAGTCAAAAAAGGGGGAGCTACCATTAAATAAATGAATCTCACTGCTGAGAGTGGTTAGGAACCATGTGCTTAGACAGCATTACCTTGCTTTTTCAGGTGTTTCCACCACAGTTGCATCAGCCTGATTCTTTATCGCAGTCTGAGAAATCCAATGCTCTCACAATTCCATGTTTTCTTTGTAAACACAGGAGCTGTCCAAGAGAGGCCTTGGCAATAACACAGATCTCCGTATCATGCAGCTGCCGGTGGCTTACCGAAAAGCAAAGGAGCAAGTCTTCAAGATATGGACAACTCTTCAGCCACTGGTGAGTAACTGGGAAGTTACACAGATCTTCCCCTTCATTTATGAGTATCATTATTCTGAGAGGATCTTTAAAAAGATCCCCAGAAGAGTGCTGTGCAAGACGTGCATCACACAACGCTGGGAAGTGACTATTAAAACTGCGGTAGAGGGTTCAAACTGAAAGTTGGAGCACACTGATTATCGCGTGCTAGTTTAACCCCATGCCATTTGAACAGTGTTGAACAAAGGGAAACAAAACCCCACCATAAACGGCAAAAAAGGTACCAAGCTCTGAAGTTCTGAGCTGACAAAACCAGAGTAAAGCATGATTTTATTCTCACTTAGAATCTCTTGTCGAAGTTTTCTTCAGGCACGAGCTACACCAAGACTCCCCACCTTGCAGGCGGTGTTTCACACCATGCTTGGCACTACTGCATCGCACCCTGTTCCAAAACAGGTCTCATTTTTAATTTCCTGTTATTCACTCTGGTGGGAAAAACCAGCTTACAGTTCACGTTGGGCTGGCTTCAGCCGCCGAAGGACTCATCATCCTCGAGCAGTGTGGGAAGAACAAAGGCTACCAAGAGATGGATGCTTGTGGTTTTCTCCCAGAAGGTGCCTGTTGTGTGCTAGATGGCCCGGAAAAGATTGAATCTACAATTAATATGAAGATGCTCTGGAAAAGCATTTCAGTGGAAGGAGTTGATATCATCTCTTCCAGAGATGCAGGAAGGTAAAGCATTGCGTGTCAGGGGCTCACAGGGAAAGCAGAAGTAACTCCATAGACTCATTTAACCTTGAGGAATCTTTGCAATGGCTTTTCCTCCAACCAAAATCACTTCAAAGCAAAGTCTTCAGAGGGGCAACACATATGAAATTGGGATGAATTTAAATTCTATGTAAAACAGAAAACCTACAGCCAGTAGGTATTTTGCCACAGATTTCTAAATTCCAAAAGGAACAAGTTTCAACACAGCACACCCTGTGATTAATAACCCCAGTAAACCTGAGCTATTAAGAGTCTAAAAGCAATACCGACCAGTAGCAGATTTCAGTCTGGTTTTCCCAACTGGGAGGATACAAAATGTAAACACGTACACCAAGGAACAGAGCAATTACAGGTACCTTCGGACCCAGGTCTGTGAGCTCGTCTGTGTTTCAGCAGTACTGTAGCAATTATCTCAGTTTTCATTTAAAAGAGGAACAAACCAATAAATGATCTCATCTTGAAAAACTAAAAATCAGCCGATCTTGGCCCTTAATGTCAGGATTTGCACCTGCAAGTTAACAAGTAGGGAGCTAAGACAAACCCCCTCCTCATAGCGAGACTAAACTTACACTAAAAGCTGTATGTGTTCCATGGTGGTATCTTCCACTAGGCTGTGCGTTACCTTTCCCATCTCACCCAGTTTATAGGAGCCTCGAAAAGAAAGCATGTCTTGTTTTTTATTTAAAGCTCCTTCGGGGAGGGTGTCTGAGAAACCAAACCATCAGATAAGGAACATTTGTTTCTCAAACTTGGTTTCTTTCAGCACTTCCTTTCCTCACTAAGCAAATGCATTGTTAATAATTTCATAAACCAGATCTGGTTTGGCTACTTAACGAACATTTAAATTTAATCAGGTTACTGTTCTGTAATTCAGGTTTCTGGTTTTGTTACCTTAACACTGCAGGTACGTCTGTGATTACACCTACTACGCTTCTCTGTACTACGGCAATGGAAGAGCAGCTTTCATCCATGTGCCTCCATTATCCCCATCAGTAACAGCAGACTTTCTAGGAAAAGCATTACAGAGCATTATCTTAGAAATGCTGAAACAGTGTGGGGAGGGGACAGGGTAAGATGGATCACAGAAGAAAAAAGAGGATTTCTCCAGGGAAACAAAAGCCTGTTCCTCAAGCATCATGTAAGAAGGACAACAGAGAAACGTAACAACACAGACAGCTGATGAGGCTTTGCGCCACCACAGTGCCTTATTTTAACCAGAGGAACTGGGAACACCAAGTTAGTGCCATTTGTTTTTGCCACTGCCTTTTCCAATGACTGTTGCAGGAAACTGTTAAGCACATGCTGCTGGATGCCTCATCTCTGGACTGCTGCAAGGGTAAACAAGCAGGTTTTCCTCAAATAAAGAAGTAAATAGAAAGGCTTGCCTTATTCAAGGGAACTACCTACTGCAACCCAGTAGTCAAGGTCCCATCAGAAAAGGGTCCACAAGCTCAGTGTCACTGGAAAATACCTTTGATTTCAAGATTATGGCAGCACTGACCTCTGCTAAGATTTACTCAGAGGAGCACAGTTAAATGCAGCCTACAAGGGCAGAGGGAGACCAGAGGTGGTTTGCTCTGAGTTTTCCAACCTGTACTCGCTTTGCGTAAGGAGCAACAAATTCAGAAGCAGGCAAATGCATACAGAATTCTTTTATTTAACTTAAATCATGTAGTACTGAAACTACTAGAAAAAAGCAGAGTAAGAGAAACTAAAGGAGCCTTAGCTTCAGCCATTCAAAATAGACAAAGTTTCTTCTTTTCATAATGTAAAGAATCCCGAGTATATCGCAATAACAGGAATAAATTCTTACAACAGAATATACAAAAACATTTTGAATTTTTTTTTCTCTACTGATTCATTTTAATATAAACACAGGAATTTCTTTAGGAATAATTTATACACAGCAAGTCTTTTTCTGTAATAAATTGGCCATGGTATTGTTTCATTTTCTCTTAAAAAAATTTAAACAAGAAAAGACTGGAAAATGTATTTGCAACTGCATCCATTCCTTAGCACTTTCTAGTTTTGTTTTTGTCCCAGAGGTAGACAAACTCTGGCCAATCCTTTCATCTCAAACCTCACTGGTCCAGCAAACAGAAGAGCTGAGTTTTGGACAGTATCTATATCATGGGAACCCTTCGGCAATGCGGTCAGGCAGCTCCGGGGAGCGAGGGTGAAGGGATCATCAGTACTCTTAAATAACAATAAATAGGGACCCTGCCTTGCTCGTTTCAACAAAGCTCCAAATGGTGCTCAGCAGCTTCAGAGGCTGCGCACAAACTTTCAGAGTGGGAAGAAATCAGCAAACAGTTCTTCAATAGCAATTACAAAAACCACCTTCCCTCTCTCTCTTCCATAGTCGCATCCTTCAGACCACGTGGCCACTGCAAGGCTGGTCCTGCACTGCGCATGTCAGCCTGGGTAGCAGCAAGACCCGTTCTGTTTCCCCAACCAGTGAGGTTCTTGTAATCCATTAAGCCAACTGCCCTAGACAGTAACGTGAAATGACCAGCTAAGATGATCCCACCCCAACCAGAGGGCTCTGGAAGACCAGGATACTGAAGATACAGAACATTCCTCCAACTCCTTTATTCATTTGCTGTATACTGGGACACAAAGCTTGGGCGGGCGGGAAGAGGGACAAGCCACGGATTGGACAAGTTCGGGATCCTTTTTGGCATATCGTAAAGCTAGCTAGTAAACTGGTACCGTGAAAAACAACTGATCACAGACAGACGCACCCATACACAGACACAGGAAAGTGCCCTTAAATCATAGTTTAGGCATTTATAAACTACAAACATTTTATAAAATTATTCTATGTACTTACAAAATGCAATGGAACATTGAATTAGTTCTTGTAAACCAGATCTTCGTCAACTGACTACCCGTAATCTACTGGACTTGAAGCCCTATTGAAAATGCTAATGGATTACTGATCAACAGAACACAGAGTAAAGGAAAGATGAGCACGCACACATAGGCACACACACAAACTCGTGATAGTCTTCAGGTACTTGCAGAACAGACCAACTCTACAGATTCATACAGACTGATGACACCACCAACTATTAAACTCCTGGCAATCCATTTACCCTTCCAGATGGGAAGCCCAGAGGTTTAGTTACAAGTACCAACGATCAGAATTGTGATACCTGAGCTCCGATGCTGTCCCACAGATGAAGCTCAGGAAGCCACCTCAAACTTCTGCCAAGCCCTGTGTCTTTGTAAATACCCATTGCCACATCCTGCTTCCATGCCTCTCGGTTCTGATCTACCTGGCCGTGCTCAATTGCAGAGGCTGTTCATCTCTGAGCAACCAGTCTCTGAACCAAGGCATCCTTTGAAGCCCTCCTGCCTGTTCATAGTTCTGTATCTTCAGCACCCCTGGCCACTAGTGTTGTTTCTACACATCATTTTCAAATCCTTGTCTGCACAACTACTCGTGGGTTAAGTTGCAATATCTGGCTTTTATCACTGGTTAGTAAGGAGCGGATCCCTTGCACCTTCCTCCGCTGTTGTTCAGCCCAGTGATTAAATACATGGTTGACAAACAAAATAAGAATAACAGGAAACAAGTGTTACTTGTACTAATGGAATGAAAAGGGTTTAAAAAGATATATATCTATAATATAGATATACATATGCAGATATATATATGTATATATAGATATATATGTATGGAGTTATACCAACAATAGGAGTGTTGTTCACTTAGACTCTGATTGTGCCCAACACCCCTCAGCAGTTCCCAGAGGACCCGAGAGCAGTCCCACCTGGTGACCAGTCATCCTGGGCAAACTGGGCTTTCATGCCTTTGTCTTTCAAGACCAAGAGGAGCATCATCAGTGTGCACACCCCTAGAGCCATACATCGCTTTGAACCAGCATCAACGAGCAGAGGCATCGCGCTGGGAAAGACGGTGCACACCGGCTGGCCTCGCGCTTCCCATCACGCTCGGCTTCCGCGGCTGCTTTATCACTCCCCTGAGAGAGCATCTTATTGAGTACCACGCAGCTGACACTTTTGTGTTCACGTGCCTTTGCAACCAAACCACCTTCTGTGCCACCGAGCAGCTGTTAAAATGCGAGTCAGGGGAGCACAACAGCCGAGCACCACACTCGGAGCCCCCGCTCCCCGCAGCAACGCCACTGCGTTACCCTGCTGCATGAAAACATCTTGGTGCCGTCTGTCAAATGCTGGTTTTCAGGGCTGGGTGGGCTTTTGTTTGCAATTTATAAACAAACTGGATTACTTTCACTTTATTCAAACATAGCTGAAGTTCTAAATAAATTTTCCATACCAGACAAGCCAGTGGTCTCAGGGAAGAACAACATTACAAACCGTATTATGACTCTACCAAGCCAACATTAATTCTCAGTTGTTCACATGCACAAACAACTTGATTTACTGTCCAAGGGAAGTCTGCATGAAAAACCCATGTGAATAAAGCTATTCAAAACGCACAAAACACAACAACAACAACAAAAATAGGCTATGGAAACAAACAGAACAAAAAAGGAATTAAGCTTGAACTGCAAACACAGAACGCAATGGTATCATGAAGGTGGTTTGGTCCAGGAGAGCTGACTGTCATCACGCGTGCGGACGTGATGTCGCGCGACTGTCTTCTACCGCAGTGCTTTTGGAAATGCTCATCGTGATGGGTGCTACGTCATTAGTGTTGCTTCCTAATGCATCTTAAAACCACCTACATACAATTACAAAACCCAGGAACTCGGACAGTTTTAACAAAACCCTCCTAGCCAGCTGAAAGATCTGAGGATCTCCAGTTGTGGTAATCAAATATGTGCAAGAGAGGGGAACAGCCACTGCACCAAAAGGTCACGGGAGCCTCCTGAAAAACAGAAAAACCAACCCCAAACTGGTAAACCCACTAAATCTGGCTGGTTCCTTAGGGCTAGAAATGCTCCCTCCAAAGGCCAACTCTACAGTACTTTAACCACAGCGCTGTGCATTCACACAAGGCTGGGTACAACTCTAGGAGTCAAGCACCACATTATTTAGATACCACAGCCAACACCTGCACCACCAGCTGCCTGAGCTGGAAAAAGAAACCTTATACATCAAGTTGATGGCAAGCTCGTGTTAGTCCTGTGTGTTTGTAAACCAGTGACACGCTGTCAGAGGGCGGTTAAAGTTTGATGGCTGGTCCATCAGAATCCACAGTTATCTGAAGCATATAAACAGGGGAAGAAAAGGGAAGTGAGTTTTTACTGGCACGTTAAAAGACATCAATTCAATGTTAGTTTCAGGAAAAAAAAAATCATCAGTGCTCTCGTATCAAACAGAAGCAGCAAAGATCCGAAGCTGTAAACTCGATGTAGCAGTTATCACCAGGCAGCCTGGGGCAGGTTTTTTGGTCAAGCCAGCAATGCTGTTGCTGTAAGAGCCAATTCATTTTTAGGTGCTGATTCAGCCAAGTATCTTTTTGGTGCTTGTGGCATCTGAGGGAAATCCAGCAGGACTGAGCCCATTCTGCAGGACAAACAGCAAGACCATTCCCTTCACTGCACAATTATTCTGGGCCTTCAGACATTGTCATCAACCCATTTCTGTAACAGATTTCATCAAATACTCATAATTTGAAGTCCTCATAGCAGGTCAGCTGTGTCTCTGCTCATCAAACCATGCAGCGTTTTGTTCCTGATTTGAGGACTGACAGGTTACCACGCTAAAAAGCCCTCATGTTTCCTTCAGGAATGGTCCCCTAAGGCAGACAGCCCTGGGATTCCTCCTCACAGTAATGAATGTGAGCAAAAAAACTGGAAACACTCCTTGGAATGGAGGCAAATGTTCAGAAGTGACCCTTTGTGACAGGCAGTGACTGTTCCCCTCCAGAACCTAGAGCATGTGGTATATGGAGTGAGAGGTTACCAGTATCAACGGCATTTATTGGCTGCTGAGACATGTGAGATGTATTCTTTTTTATATACACACATATAAAAAAATAAGAGTGAGGTAGATAAATGTTTGAAAAAAATCAAAACCTGTCCCCCTGTCATACTCAAAAACCCTTATCTCAGTATTTAGATTTATTATGGGGCATCTCTACAGTGATTTAAACTGATATCACAAAAATAAATAAAAAATCCTACATAGAATACCTTCTTAATTAACTTTTTTGTCTTTTTCATTTTTAAAGGGGAAAAAAATAACTATGGGACAGAGGCAAGAGAAGATAATGGGACCTAAACTACACAAGCAAAAAGCACTACAAACTTTTTCAAATCTCCAGTCAAAACTAGCAATCAGTCTACTTGAATTCTTTGTTCTTACTCAAAAGATTGAAGCGTTTCCATCCCAGAACCACCTCTTCACTGCCATCGTTTGGTTGGATCAGTGCTAAACAAAGGCTTAGATGCTGAAACTGACGTTAAGAGGAGCAACGGGTATGACTCGGTGGTTGCAGACTTTCTGGTGGCCCCCTCCTTCCCCTGTCACCACGGCTTCTGCAACTGAACAAACAAGCTTACTCGTTTTCCTTTGTTCTGAGGTTTGGTCTATGATTTAAGCAACAAGCTTGTACTTGCACAGGTTTCCATAGCAGCCAACACTGAACTGTTTGCTAGCCAAGCCACTGGCCCCAGCTGCACTCTGCCCACCCAGCCCCACGGAAACGGCCTGCTGGGTTCCAGTTGGTTTCGGTGTTATTTCTCTTCCCTAGGGTGCAAAGTGCAGCCCTGGTGCCCTCCATGAGGGCTTCTTCATGGGGAAAGTGAAGAGCTGGGGCTTGCTGGAGCTTCAGTGGCCACCCTAAGGCTGCCTGGCACCACCAGCTGCAACTGGTCCGGCTCTTACTCACGGG